CAGATGCTCTCTCTTGCCCTTTCCAGAGATGTGCCCAGACGATGCAGGTGGGCTGGCACACTTGTGCCAAGTACACATCACCTCCTAAGAGCAGCTGTTTGCCGTCCGTGGCACTCCGCTGGCATTAGCAATCACATTGCTCTCCCTGGCACATGGGATACCGCAAATGCCAAAAGCTTACCCAAGCTCAAAGGGAAATGTGAGAAATCTGCAGAGCACAGCTAATTACATAGAAACCTGATCTGGCTAGGAAACCCCTGAGACACAAGTTTCTGGGGGCTGGGAGAGCATCAGTTGGAAATAGTGTCTATATGCCCATCCGGCTCTTGTATCCTCCTACTCCAAGGTGCTCTTGGCAGTTGTCAGAAGAGGAGGCTGTGCTGGATGGCCGTTGGGTCTGATCGACTATAGCAGTTCTTCCCTTGGTGCGCCATCCTTAGAGCATCGCCAGCCAAGAGGACTTCTCCATGGGCTATTGTAACTAAGGGTTGTGTGGGAAAGCTCTGTTAAAAGACCTTTACAGTTCAAATGAAATAGCATGGTTTGAAACAAAATCTGAATCCTGATGGAAAGCATTTGGCTCGGAGCAAGGGCAGAGATTTGTATGCCATGTTCACGAAGATACCATCCTTCTCTTGTTGCTGCTGGGTGTCAGCAAGAGGAGGGGAGCTGGAGCTGCAATTCTGCAAGATTTGTTTTATTCTTTGGTTTCCGGTACATGGAAATGAGATGAAACTCATTCCCTCAGCAATTGCCTTGGCTACAGACTCAGGGAAGAGCAATTTCTGGTACATAAATGCAGACGGTTGGCTGTGCGATGGATGCTCTCAGCCTTCATGCCAGAGCAGGGCTCTTTAGCTCAGGCCGAACGGAGTGGACACCAAGGGAAGGAAAACCGCAGCGGCAGCAGTGGTTTGCTGCAGACTTGCCCCGTGGTGTCGGAGGGGCTCCCTGCAGCAGGCAGGGAGGAGGCAGGAGGTGTGCCAAGCCCGGGGCTTTAGGCCAACACCCAGCCTGGTTCTGCAGAGGGACCTCTGGCCCCATGCGCCCACATCTGTTGGAGAGATGCTCCAGAAATTGCTCTTTCCCACCTGCAGTGTGACCGAGGGACAAGGCAGGAAAAAAATATTCCAGCTTTTTCAAGGGCTGTGGCGTTGCACACTCATGGGATCTTGAGTGTTTGGCTTAAAAACCCAGCTCCTGGAGACGTTGAATGGTGGCAGAAACACCCCTTTCGTCCCCAAATCAAAGCTGGTTCTAGACCTCTGTGAGGATTTGAGGGACAACTTGGAAACACCATCTAGATTGACCCCAGTTTCACATGAGGTGAAGAAAACGTGTAACGGTTTAGAGGCTGCCTTTATCGTCTGTTTTAGCCTTCTGTTTTTCCCCCTCTGTCTCTTGGATTTGGGACTCCTGGTTTGTGGCCCTGCAGTGACTCAGCAGTGGGGGTTTCAGGGTGCTATACAGCGTCACTTTTGTTTTCTGTTTACACAAGCACCGTCAGGTCTTGTGCTGAAGGAGCCCCTGAGCCACAGGAGAGAGAGATTTTTAAACGCAGATTTCAGCAGGTACTTGCGCTGTCGGCACTTTGGGTCTCAGTATACTTCATCCCACTGTGTCCAGCCAGGGAAACCAAGGGCCAGATGTCTCAGCTGCTGCGCGCAGAGCATCTCCGTGAGCCTTAGCAAGCTGTCTTGGCTCTGCCGGGCGCTCCTGGTCTGCCCCGTTCATACCATGTATTGTAATGCAAGAAAATCAGCCTTGCACAGCAACGTGTACCTCCGAAAAAGAGGACGGCAGGCAGCAGGCTTGCAGAACTTGACACTGAATGGAGCAGGAGCACAGGACTAGGTGAGGGCACCGGGAACGTGGGGTGCAATCCACAGCCTGCACGGGCAGCCCCACGCTACCTCGGTGATGCTCACATCCTCACAGCCCACGCTAGCCAGCAAATCTCTGCCTGGGAGAGGAGTGAGAAGCAGAGACCGTGTCAGAGGGTCCAGCAGCAGCAGGGTGTCATCAGTGCACGTCCTGGATTACTGTAAAAAGCGGTCCTTACTCTAAGGCAGGATAATTTGTGCAGTTGCCTGATCCTCCTCCTTCTCCACTGATGAAGCCCTGCGGCATGGCCAGATGCGTGCGGGACCCTGCGGAGGGGCTTTGCAGCAGGCAAAAGGCAGGGGGATGGAGATCAGGCATGCTCTAAGAACAGCTTATGTTATTTTCACATACTTGCTGTTTCTCAAACAGATGTGATCTCAAACGCCATTAGGAGAAAATCCTTTTCTCTGGGATTGCAGTCTCGTCCCAGGACAAAGTTGCCTCAGCAATTCTTGCCGATTGGAGATTCATCCAGAGAGCAGATTGCCGTCTCCCACCCTTTTCCCCAACGACCTGCGCAGCAGGAACAGCAGCAGTGCCCAGGTCTGCCCAACACGGAGCACTTGCTTCCACCCTAGAAAGATCACTTGGAAAACTGCGTAAAGGCAGCACCTCCTGGCAGCGGCATTTTGAAGCCGCAATATTCCAGGCAGTCCTATTGGTGTTGGCTCTAAGCATCAGGGACAGCTTTTTTAATTGGCCCCCGGGTTTCTTTTTGTGAGAGAGAATGATTTTGTGGGGCGCTGAGGAATGCCACACGTGGCAAGCCAGAGCACACCCGTGGGAAGTTTACGTCTTGATACCTCCGCTGCCCTCAGAATTGATGAAGGCAGCTTTTTTAATTAACTTTCCTGAGAAAGGCTTTTTTTTTTTTCATACGTGGGGGCAGGGTGCAGTGTACATTTTAATGGGAGTTGTCAGGAAAATTATTGATTTTGTTAGTAATGTTTTTGAAATTATGCCATTCTGTTAATTCTGTCAGGCTCTCTTTAATAGCTTGGCTGAGAGCATTTTTGCATCTTTCATTAGCTTTTTAATACACGATAATTTCCCCTAACTCATCAATGCAAAGCAAGATCAGTTGCGTGCTTGGTAACCATTTTTCCTATGTACAAACCTATTGCAGCAATAATTATAAACAGAACGAATTGTTAGAGGTATTCTTTATAAAATACAATTACACTGAGCCGTGCTGCATTGTTACACTTTTCACAGCCATCACTTGCTCTTGAGTAAATGGTTTCATTATAAGCACGAAGGGCAAACTTAATATATTTCTGACTCATAGCAAACAGCACAAGAAATCATCCTGGCTGTTCCTCCAGGTGCTTGGCGGTGTTTGCTCTGAATGAGAATAAAATGTCGGCTCTGCTGCCAAACACTCGTCAGCGTAACAGAGGGGCTCTGAGTGGCAGCACAGACGTGCAAGGAGGGGAGAAAGCCAGAAATCACAGCAGCATGGCCCGAATTTCACTCCCCTAGAGCGTGGCTTTCTTCCATGTTTATGGGTTTTCAGTGCTGGGACCTGCCAGGAACAGCAGATCCTCCTCGGTCGTATATTAGAGCAGCCTCGGGGCTGCTCCGACTTGTGCTGGCTGCCCGTGGAAAGCCCACGGGAGCCGGGGCTGGGACAGGAGGCATTTCTTCGAAGGACAGGACTGAGAGGCTTGGGCAGGGGGAGAGCGACCGGGAAGCTTGTTCAAGCAAGAGCATTCGCAGGAGGGCAACGCAAACCTAGCCAGGAGGTCGGCAGCAAGCAGAGGGCTGCAGACAGTCGCTGCATTGCCTTTTTATTTCTTGTTGATACTGCCTTCTTATTTCTTGTCTGGGAGAAGGTCAGGGCCAGGAGGAGGTCCCGTCCCGGCAGCAACGGCCGTGAGCAGGGTGCTCCAGGCAGGAGCGGGGGCTGTTGGGTTTCTGCCCCCCGTCTTGTCTGTGCAAGGGCTTTGCACTGTAGGAAAGACCACAGAGGTCCCCCAACATGCTCCAGCCCCTGGCACCCCAGGGGTTTGGTCACCTTCTGGCGAGCAGCTTTCGGCTGGGTGTTTCTCGGCTACTTACGCAAGTCCCTGAGAAGAGCTGGAAAACTTCTTCCATGCTCATTTTTCTTCCTCGTAAAGCAATTCATTGACTCAATTTTCACTCCGTTGCATGCAAGGGGTGCAGTTTTCACTCCGAGGGGCAAATCTCTCTGCTGGTGGCCACAACCTCCTGCGAGGCTTTCGCCCTTCACGGTGCGTGCTTTGTGGCTGTGCTCTGAGCAGGGGCTCTGCCTTTGGACCTTCCCTGCTGATGCTGCAGGGGCAAATTCAGCAGCTCCGGGCCGTGTGAGAAGAGAGACTTGCTGCTCAACTCTCGAACAGGAGAGATCCAAACCTTCAGGGCTTGGGGAAGGATGTGCTGCTTGCAAAGGAAAATAAAAAAGTCAAATCTCACCATCAGTGAAGCTTTCCTTCACCCTGCCCTAACCAGAAAGACCATCTTTCCTTTATGTTCCCTCCACAGAAAAAGTCCTAACAACTCCAGCATCCCTTTTGAGCTTGTAAATTGGAGCCTCCAAAGCCCAAACTGAGCGGCTGATGATGATGTTGTGCATGGATCTGCTGTGCCTGGCAAGACAGAGCCTCTTGCGTGCGTGGGGGCTGGTTTAAGCAGTGCGGCGTGCTTTCAGGGGCTTGGTCTGTGCTGGTTCCCAGTGCTCCTGCCCCTGGGAGCCTATCTGGTCTGTGCAAGCTGTCAAGGGGCTGTCCTGTACCCTGGGTTTTTGGAAAGGGACGTGTTTTGCTGGTCCTGGGCCGAGGCACCTCTGGGGGAGGCTGGTCCAGGCTGCGTCAGGTACAGCCGTGGTCTCTGGCCGTGATGGGGAGGCTGGTACCCTGCGCGCTGCTGCGGCTCTGACCCCGTGGTCCGTGCCCATCCTGAGGCAAGCTCGGCCCATCGGCTCTCGCCCTTGGCTTTCGGCTGTGCTGCCCCTCCAGCCTGTGCTACCAAACCCACTGTTTTCTGTCCGCAGCTCCCTTCTCCTGCCATTTCCACCCTCCTCATCCTCTTCCTGTCTCCCCTCCTCCCTTTTCCCCCCTTACTCTTGAATCTCTATTTCTTCTTCTCTGTTCCAGCAAAACGATATCAATCAAGGTGATAGATGATGAGGAGTATGAGAAAAACAAGACCTTCTACCTAGAGATCGGGGAGCCCCGGCTGGTGGAGATGAGTGAGAAGAAAGGTGGGGGACGTGCTCCGGGGCTGAGCCCAGCCTGTGTGTTCCTGTCTGGCTCACTCATGCCTGGCATCTGCAACACCGAGCTCACATCCCCAACGCCTATGGAAAAGGGCAGGAGCGAGGGCGCTTCCCATCCCCGTACCCCTGAACTCAGGCTTTCCCCAGCCCGCCGAGGTCCGACCCCACCGGGAGGTGGGGGTGCTCCTGCCCTTCCCCATATGCCCCCGGGGGGATGTGCAGCCGCTTCCCCCCACCCATCTCCGGCACCACGGCACCCGGGCGGACGTGAACTGCATGCGTGTGTGATGCCAATCATCTGTTTGCCTTTGTCTTGTGTTCCCACAGGAAATTCATTACCCTTAGAGTACTTGACCGTGAGGAGTATGAGAAAGAGTGCAGTTTCTTCCTTGTGCTTGGGGACCCGGTGTGGCTACGACGAGGAGTGAAAGGTGTGAGAGTAAAACCAGACCAGCCCTCGAGACGCTGCCGTCCGCTTTCTCTGTGTCTCCCTACTCTCACACTCCTTTCTCCTCGCACTTTGGCTCCCGGCCGTTTTGCCCTCCCTCCTTCAAAGCTTGGCCACTGCAACTTTTTGCTCTGTTTTCTTTCCTCTTTCATTTCGGGAGGACTCTGTCTCACTCACGAGGGCCCCCCCGGGAGCAAGGCGCGCTCCCGGGACGGCCCTGGAGCACCCGGGCAGGGGACGATGAGCATCACCATCCTCCAGAGACATTCTGAGAGCACTGCCCTGCCGTGTCGCAGCTACCCCTCCATTTAATCGGGTAGAAAATTCAGTCTCGAGAAGTAAAAAAGGTGATGCTGCATCATTTTTATCAGAAGATAAAACAGCCCTCGCTTGAAATAAAATGCATGGCCAGAGCAGTAATTTTAGCCCTTTTATACTGGCACTAGGATCTGAAAATAGCTGAGAATCACGGCACAAGCCGGTAATACCGTAAGATGCAATCAGTCTAGGAGAAATCTGGTTATACTCAAATAAAGTTTCACGGCTCTGCACTGGATAACAGCTTCTCATAGGAATAATAAAAACAATTTCCTCTCTCATCATATTTCTAAACCAACTGCGAACCTTCCCAAAAAGACAGAGTTCACTTCTTTTTCTGTGCATTTTTTTCTGCTAGAACATTAAGTGAAAATTAATGGCAACAGCTAATTCTGCGCACTACTGGTGGCTGAGCAAGAAGCAGTTTTAGAGTTACTTAAGATAATTAGTTGCCCTACAACAGACCCTTATTAAAGCCTTTGTAAAAAATTGGCAGTGGCATTTGGTCTGTCTGCCTTGGAGCTGCTTTCTAATTTCTGGGACATAAGCTCTCCCTTCAGCAGGCGTGGGGTTGTAATATATTATTTGTTCAGGCCAGAGAAGGCCCCCAGCGGTCCCCACGCTGAGTGGGGACGTGCTGCTGCATTTCAGGCTAAAAACACACCGGCAGCGATGCCACGTTTCCAGTCCGTGCGAGGGGCGTCTGGGGTGAGTGGGGACTTCCTGCTGCATTGCAGGTGAAAAACACACCGGCAGCGATGCCACGTTCCCCGTCCGTGCGAGGGCTGTCTGGGTCAGCGGCATCGTCCCCTCCGCTGGATTTCCTGCGGGTTTATGTGACTAGCTAGCAGAAGCAGGGTTAGAAAAACAGACACACTGGCATGGCCCAGGCTCTGCAGGTGGGATTCGTATCATTAAATGGAGCCAGTGACACCTGTGGAGCACAGCCAGTGTTGCCAGGATAAACGTGGTCAGCTCAACTCAGCGGCTCCGGCTTTTCCCAGCTTCACAGGGACCAGCGTGGGCTCAGCCTTGCGAGTTCCAGCAAGAGCAAGCACAGTTTCCAGGCCTCAGGTTTGAGAATCGTGGTACCAACTCACGAGATCCCAGCTGAAATTTTTAATGAAAAATAAAAAGAAAAGGGAAGAAAGTTCCTCATCTTCCTGGTCGCAAAGATAACTGAGGAAACCTGAGGGAGGCTCAGCTTTGCAAACTCACTAGCTGGAAGGCAAGGCAAAATTTTAAAGGATGCTATTTGCTGCTTTGGCCATGCGACTATTTTTTTTTGGCTCAGTTTTTGTGCTTGATTTTGTATGAGAGGCAGCAAGGTGGGGCGAGCTGTGTGCTCAGCACCCTGGAGGCGAGAGCATCTCTGAAATGTCACCCCTGGGCCATGTAGCTGTGGTGGGGTCCACGCCTCAGGGGCCAGAGACCCACCGGTGCACTAAGGGGGAGGCTTTTTCTTTTGTTTTGGAGACCTAAAACGTCGAGCGGCAAGATGCTTGAGCCCAGCCTTGCCACAGACTTTTCTTCTCTCGTTGTAGACGCCAGAAGCGCAGCTGCCTGCCGGAGCGATTGCTCCCCGTTAGGCAGCTGGAGGAGGTCAAAGCCAGTAGCCGCTGCACATGGGATGTCTTGTGTCCTCCCCCGGGGCAGAACTGCCTCCGAGACCAATGGAAGATCTTGCACATACAATTCAAAGGGGAAAAATGAATTTTTGGAGTGTGCCTTTTAATCCCATATCCACCCCACGTTCGCAATAGTTTTTATTTTAAATCCACAATCCTGTGAAACGTTTCTGTTCCTTTATTTTTAGTGCCTTTCTCTCAACACTAATGGTATCCTGCAGCTTTACAGATCTGAAATCTCTGCCCTGGGATCTGGAGTCTTTCTGTGGATATCCCTTTTGATTTCATTATTCATTTACTTTTCTTCTTCTGTGTTTGTCTCTGTCTGTCTCCTTCACAGCCCTGTTGTTGAATGAGCTTGGTAAGCGCGCATTCGTTTTTCTTTTCCATTTTTCCAGTTTGTCTCTGTATTTTCGGAAGACAATTGATTTTGCTTGACATTTTCCTTTGCTCGCGACATTCTCTTTTAGGGTGGTCAGCACTATTTAAGTAAGCTCAGGTATCTAATGCCACATCTTTCCTTGGAGTAGAGCCCCAAAGTCACTAACGTTAACGAGCGGTAACCCGCTGTGGCAAGGAGCATTTTTTGGGAGTGGCGTTGTTACAGCCACAGCAAACCCGCCGACACCCCGAGTTACAAACCTGCGCCGTGCAAATTAACCCATCGCCTCTTACACTGGCATGGCAGAAACAGGATTGCCTGGCGACTTAGGGATGCTTGTGGCTGGACTGGGAAGTTGGCCAATCCTTTTTGAAGAGACGGTGCAAACTTCGCCTCCAGTCTTGGGGAGATTTAGCACCCACCCAGCCTCTGCATTTCCTTGCTGGCCATCCCTGGGATAGGGTGGCCGCGGAGGGAAGCAAAGCCACCCTCGTTCCCCAAAGCACCCCCAGCCCCGGGGCAGGCTCGCACTGGTTTTACCCGCTCCACAGCATATATTAGATAATGGGGGGTGGCAGCTTGCAGACGTGGGTTGAAAAGACTGTGTTCAGGTCTCCCGCACACTCCCTGGGGTGCGTGTAGGGGAGCAGCCCCCCCGAGGCCACAGTCCCTGGCTGTGGGGCAGGGAAGGACCACCACGTCCCTGCGGGCTGCAGGGTCTCCGTGTTGCTGTGCCAATGCTAATCCTCTCTCTCTCTCTCTCTTTTTTCCTCATGTTTTTGGTTTCATCTAGGTGGCTTCACCATTACAGGTATGGATTTCTGCTCTCCCCCAGCCCCCCCCCCTTCCCTCCTTTTAATG